CTCTACACAACAGAGGGCCCAGGGGGATTCCCAGAAGATTCCTGAAGGATTCCTCAGGGATTCCCGGAGATTCCTCAGGGATTCCTGGAGGCTTCCTGAATGATCCCTGAAGGATTCCAAGCGAATTCTCTTCCCATGGATTCCTGAAGGATTCCTGCAAGACTTCTAATGGATGTCTGAATATTCTTAGAAAGTATACCAGAAGGCTTTCTGAGGGATTTCTGCAGGATTCCTTAGGATTCTTGAGGGATTCCTGGGGTTCCTGGGGGGTCCTCGGGGATTCCTGTAGGATTTCTCAGGCTTCCAGAGGGATAAGGAATTCCTGTGGCTTGCAGGGGGATTCCTGATGATCCCAGAGATTTGGACGGATTCTTCAGCATTTCTGAAGGGTGGTTCCTGAGGGACTCCTTCAGGATTTCCCGACGAACTCTGGAGACATGTTTTTTCATTCTTCAGGCTTCGCTTATCCCCACCAGCCCATTCGTAAACCCTGCCCATGAGAGTTGACGGGGAGAGGAACGAAGAGGCACATGTAGTTCTACAACAGTGGCAACCAGGGTAACCAGAGGTCTCTGGGAGCAAGGGAGTGGCCTTGGAGGGCCCCTTCGGGCCATCCCTGGGGCCCGCGCGGGGGCGAGGGAAGTAGGAAGAGGAGGAGGTTGAGGAGGACCGGTGTAAACCCAAGACTCAGCAACGAAGCGGGAGTAAACTCCCTCCAAGCTCCCTTTTCATGGACCCCTACAAGGATTCATGTCGACTGAGGGAAGTGCCCCGTTGCAAGACAACCGTTTGAAAGTCCTGAACCGTGCCAGGGCACCACTCTTGGGACGTCAACGCCACGAATCAACCTTACTGTTGCGTTTTGACGATCCTAAATCGCTACAAAAAACCATTTCTGGGACTGCAGCACCGCGACTCAACGTAACTGTTGCGCCCTGACAGTCCTACATCGCTCCAGAATGCCATTTCTGGGGCATTAATCATGGGAAAACTGTTGCAAACTCGCAAGACGAATGTGCGCGGCGCTACAGCGAGAGCCACATTTTGAAAGGCTTCCGCCCTTTACGCGTGAAACTCTTGCATTGTTTCAGACGCATGTGCGCATCTCTAAGGCGGGAGCTTCGTTTTGAAAGCGGGCCGTCCTCCATCCACGAACATTTGGCAATTTTCCAAACGAATGTGCGCACCGCTAGCAAGGGCGAGATCCTCATTTTGAAAGCGACCCTCCCTCCATCCGAGAAGCTATTGCAAATGTCACGCTTAAGGATCGTAAACGTTGAGGATGTCCCTGGCGAAACGCCTGGCCCGCCCTACCGACCCGTCTTGGGTTGCGACAGGGAGGAGTTATTCATAAGGAAAAGAAATGGAGGAAGACGTTGACGACGACGACGACGACGACGACGACGACGACGACGACGACGACGACGGGGAAGAGGAGGAGAAGGAAAATGAAAAGGAAGAGGATGAGGGGAAGGACTGACGAGGAGGAGGAGGAGGAGGAGGAGGAGGAGGAGGAGGAGGAGGAGGAGGAGGAGGAGGAGGAGAAGGCGGAGACCGAGGACGAGGACAGAGCCCTCAAATCGCTTCTTGGAGCTCTCTTGAGGGTCCCTTGGGAGCCCTGGAGGGCCTCTTGGAGGAAATCGATAAACAGGGGGAGGTCTTCACGTTTGCCCCGCCCCCCCCGCCCTCTCCGCCCCCCCCCCCCGGGACAACAACATCGCCTCTTGGGGCCCTCTTGGGGCGCTCCCGAGCCGCTCGTGGGCGCTCTTGGGGCCGTCTGGGGGCCTCTTGGGCCCGTAGTGGGCCTCTCTTGGTCCATCTTGGGGCCATCTTAAAAGCATTGATGTCGTACAGTGGGGGCCCATGCCAATAAACACCCTGCTCGCCTCCAGGGTGCCCTGGGTTTGCTGGGTTGCGATGGTTTTGCAATGGAACGTCCTGGGGTCTCAGGGTTGGGTTTCTTGTGGAAGGCTTCTTGTGGACTGGCCTCCACTGTCCATGACTTTTGAGAGGTTTGGGCCCCCTGGGGGGGGGGGGCCTGGCGAGGCTCCGAGAGAGCACGCGGAGCCGTCCTGCGGTCCCTTCGTGCCCTCTTTTGGAGGCATATGGGAAGCCATCTTGAAGCATACTTCAGGCGATCGCAACCATGGACATCTCCTCGCTGGCGTCGTCGATGCATCGCCGATGTCGCCGATGCGTCGCCGATGTATGGGCAATGCGGCGATATCCACCGACCCCATCTACTCCGACCCATCTATCAGGCGATCATAAACACGGATCAAGGGGGCGTGGATTAGCGACGGGTCTCATTTCCATGAGAAATCGCGGATTTCCGCAGCCGAACGAGGCGGCATTTGCCGCATTTTGGGCAGGGCGCCTCCCCGGATTCATGGATTTGGCGACCGCGCGCCAAGTCCGTGGATCGCTAATCCATGTCTGCGCGCCCCAGGTTAAACCATATTCCGCCATCTTGCGCTGCCTTGCAGGCAATCTTGGAACATCGGAGGCCTTCTTGGAGCCATCTTGGGCGAAAAAGGTCCCTCTGCCACCTCGCGGCCCGCCCCCAAAAAGCCTCTGGGAGGGGAGGGGGAGGGTACCCCTCATCGAAGTGAAGAGCGTTTTATGGGGGGAGGCAAGACAGATATCGCCAGACCACCTTAGCCCAAAGTGGTGATGGGATTCGCTGAACCTGAAACATGTTACGCCTTTCCCCCCACCCCACCCGTTTGGTAACGAAAGTACGCCGTCAAGTATTGGACACCTTGTTGGGACACCCTGTTGGGGGAAAGGGGGGGGCAAGCTCAAGTAGGGACCCGCGGCTCGAGAAGTTTGCGAAGCCCGCTCCCCCAAGGCTTCCGATCTTCCCTGCGAAGACCTCCCCGCCTCCTTGTCGAGGTTGACGGCGCTTTTCTTGCGGGCGCTCGCAGCCTATCGACGCCGTGGTCACAAACATGATTCAGTGCTGACAGGGATCGGACGGCCTCCAGTGGCCTCGGGAGACCTCCTGAGGCCTCCAGAGACCTTGAGACCTTCAGAGGTGGCCCTCGTCGTCGTTACCGTCGTCGTCGTCGTCGTCGTCGTCGTCGTCGTCGTCGTCATCGTCGTCATTATCGTCATCGTCGTCATTATCGTCGTCGTCGCCGTCTTCGTCGTCGTCGTCGTCGTCGTCGTAATCGTCACCGTCGTCATCACCGTCGTCGTCACCGTCGTCGTCACTGTCGTCATCGTCGTCGTCATCGTCGTCGTCGTCGTCGTCGTCGTCCCTGTCGTCGTCGTCGTCGTCGTCGTCGTCGTCGTCGTCCTCGTCGTCGTCGTCGTCGTCGTCGTCATCGTCACCGTCGTCGTCACCGTCGTCGTCACCGTCGTCGTCGTTGTCGTCATCGTCGTCGTCTTCGTCGTCGTCGTCGTGGACGTCGTCCTCGTACTCGTTCTCGTTGTCGTCGTCGTCGTCATCGTCGTCGTCCTCGTCTTCGTCCTCGTCCTCGCTCTCGTTCTCCTCCTTGTCCTTGCTCTCGCACTCGTCCTCATCGTCGTCGTCGTCCTCGTTCTCGTCCTCGTCCTCGTCCTTGCTCTCATCATCGTCATCGTCCTAGTCCTCGTCGTCGTCCTCGTCCTTGTTCTCGTCATCGGCCTCGTCGTCGTCGTTGTCGTCGTCGTCATCTTCGTCGTCATCTCTTATAATATCCTCCTTTTCTGCACTGTGTGATCTTTCCCCTCGCCGCGGCCGTTTCTGTTCGGGGGCCCGGGAGGATGTCTTCCTGTGCCCGCCTGACGCAAGTTTGATCGCTTGCCTTACTTGGTGTTCTGATCGCAACATCCGTTTCATCCACCACACCTCCACTGTGTAGCGGAGCTTCGGCTCTGCGACCACCGCCTCTCCCGGCGCCATGGCCCGCGTGGCGCTGACTCTGCCCTGCCGGGCCTCGAGGGCCGCGGCTCCTACATCCTTTTCTACCAGCTGGCCATCGGCACGCTGGACCGCGCTCGCGGCGCTCACCCCCATCGTCGTAAACGGGGATTCGTTTGACCGCGACCAGGGCAAGGCCAGCAACCTGAAGATCAACCCGTTCGGCCACAACGAGTACAAGGGCGACATCAAAAGCGCCAGGGACCGCGGCGCCACCCCGTCGCTGCTTGCCTTCCTTCCAGGGCGTACTCGAACTATGTCCGGACCCACTGGCCGCGATTTTGTCATCGTCGGGGATGCCCACGAAAGGGGAAGAACGTGCATATATTGAGCAGTCATCGTTCACATCAGCAGCTTCGGCCAACGGCTCCGAGCTTTTCGCAATTTTGTTACGAGGAGCCCCGGGAAGTGCTGGCGGATCAGAGTTTGCATAAGAGTGGGATGACAGTGGAGTGTCTGGCGACTGTTGGCAGCTCTCCAAGGGTCAGCACACCAGTTCTGGGACTATCGGCCTTCGATCTCGTGGAACATGACATATCGCCACACTCGCTGGTTCCTTCCAGTATGGCAGGGCGAGATTCCGATGCGCGTCCCATCGTGAGGATCGTGCAGTTGGTGGTGTTCATCAGTACAGTGACGACACGACGCACGAGGGGCATTCCCGCAACAATGTTGTGGGATGTCCCGAGCGCGGCGAACGTCGTGCCGACGCGACGCGCGAAGGGCATGCCCGCACCTATGTTGTGGGATGTCTTGGGTGCGGGGGTACACGACGACGCGACAGAAACTTACGCCCAAGACGCTGACGAAGAGGAGCACATGCGGGACAGAGGCCCGGGGCGGCTCCGAGGCTCATGGTCAGAGAACGCCTTCGGTGGGCCTGCGGCCCCCAGCACCTCCTGGACCTACGGAAAGATGGGAGGCCATCGGGGTGGGCATGCTTGACGTGGCCAGCTGCCTAACCTACGTGGACGCACGAGGCGGCGGCGGCGAAACGAGGCCTTCTCGCCTGGGGGCACGAGCAGCAGTCTCGAGTTTTCTTCCAAGGATGGGCGCGGGAGGTGGCGGTCTCGTCGCTGGCGAATTCGGAGCTCGACGAGTTTCGCCGGGCGGCCTACGTCTCCTCTCGAGTTGCCCGCGAGTGCGTGGTCGAATGGCCGCCAGCTGCTCCGATTCAGGGAGGTCACATCAACGGCGACCCAGTGCCACCGATGACCTCTCAGCTCCGTAAGCTCATTCGGCGCGGGACAAGTAGCCGCCGACGACCCCGAAAAACGCGATGCTTCTGTGGATCAGCGCGGCGCGCAATAGTTCTGGGCATAGATGGCGACGCTTCATCGAGCCTACGCGCCGCCTCCGGAATTAGCGGCACGCCACCGCGGTATTGCAAACAACTGCTGGACCTTCCTGGCCAATTTGTCCGCCTGGCAAAGGATTTCTTCGCACGAATTCCTTAACGCACAGGTCTGCGCCAAGGATTCAGAAGTAAGGTCGTGATTGTTTCTTAATGGGGAGGCCTCACCGCGCATATTCACCCAAGGGGTTCCTTATCAAGGGTTTTTGATAGACGATTCGGTATTTCGGAATCAGTGCGAAGGTTTCCTTTACAAATGAAGCCTTTTTTTACCAAGGGGTCCTTCGTGAACGAATCATTACTCAGGATTATTTGGCAATGTTTGTTTATTCGGGTTCCCGGCGAACGAATTCCCACGCGGGATCCGTTATGAAGGTATTCGGATTCTCGCGTAGTGTAGGGGGGATGTCTTAGTGATGCATATTGGTTTTAAGAGAGCCTCCAACGTATACGTATACGTATATATATATACATATATATATATATGTATTCCGCATTGACGAATCCCCACAAAGGATTTGTTTAATCGATTCGCAAATTCCGCCAGCCCATGGTGTTTGACGGCTCTCGGTTCCTGTTGAGTTCGTTGTCGACGTGGTGATGTTGAACGGCGGTTGTTCTCTGGGGCGATGCGTGGGGAGCCTTCGAGCTGAATCAGTTGCTATTGAGCTGCCTCCGGTGGGTTTCTTGCGGGCCTGTGCGGTGCATGCGGCATGTCGGTGTTTCACTTGGGCCGGCGTGGGGTATGTCCTCAGTGGATGTTCGATTCGGGGGCGCTCTGAAGATTTGAGTCTTTCGGCGCAAAGTGTGTATCATGCTTTCCGGTGGGAGGCCCCTCGGGGGCCTCTTGGTGGCCTCCTGGGACCTCGTAGGGGCCTTTGGGGGGCCTTTGGGGGGCCTTTTGGGGCTCTTCGGGCGAAAAACTCGGCATGGCCGTTCGGGATTATGTTTGCACGCTTTCTCGCAACAGGTTGTTTCGTTACGGATTATTTGGTGAGGCTTCGTTGCGACAGTTTTTTTTCTGGTTTTAAAGATTAAAACATTGTCGTGACGATGGGTGGTTTACTGTGGCGTGCGTGCGTTTTTTCGTTGCAGGATGTTTATGGAAGTTCGTAACGTTCTCTTTGTTTTACTGTTTAAACAGACTGTCCAGGAAGGGTGTTGGGGTCGGTGTTGGAGGTGCTGGTGGTGGTGTGGGGGGCGGACCCGAGGGTCTTCAGTGTAGGGGTTCGCTTTTGTGGTGGTGGCGTGAACTGTCGGTCCGTGTCCCGCGTGTCAATTTTGATGTTGCTGATGCTGATGGTGGTTCTGTTGCGGCTGCTGCTGATGATGATGATGATTGTGGTGGTGGTGGTGGTGGTAGTGGTGGTGGTGACGACGACGATGATGATGAAACTGATGCTGATGATGATACTGGTGGTGGTGATGATGCTGATGATGGGGATGCGGGAGAGGGGTGCGTGAGCCCATCCACCCAGGAGCTCGGCGTGGAGGTCGTTGACAATGCCCAGAGGTCCGCACCAACATCCGGGCGCGAGCCTCCTGCCTCCTCGGTAGGCGCCTCCGCCCACGTACTCCTCACCGCTCATCCCCCCCTTTCGACACCAGCCTTCCCAGGGGGATACGAACGTCCCCATCTCTGCTGTTCTGCCCCTCCTGCTCCCGCCCCCCCTCGCTCCCTGTTCTGCCAGGCCCCACTCAACCTGCCCCTCTCCCTCCCTTCTTACAATTAAACAGTAGGAATACTACTCTCCTCTCTCCCCTGGTGGCGTCTGGGGATTTTTCGGCCCCCTTCCGCGCACTGTTTTTTTGCACATTGGATTCCTGGGAGTTGGGTTTTCGCTTGGTTTTTGTCATTTTCAAACTGCTGTTCTCGCTGAAGCGTTGGCTTCATTTTCGGGCTACCGCTCGTTTTGAATCCTGCTCCCGCTGCAGCGTTTGCCTCATTTCCGCGCTTCCGCTCGTTTCGAATCGCGCTCTCGCTGTAGCGCTGGCGTCATTCTCTCCAGCGCCATGACACGGCATGTCTTTCGGTCCTTCCAAATAGGGCCCAAAGTTTTGAAAATGCCCACCCGAAGAAACCATTTGAAATTATTACAAATTCAGTGCCGATTCGTTGATTCTTTGGGCCACAGGGTCCCACACACTTTGGGGCGTCGCCACGCCGTGCTATGTCAGGCTACGCGTCCTCATTTCCGCGCTTCTGCGCTTGGGTTTTTGTTCAAAATGCTGCTCTCGCAGCTCTGGCCTCAGTTTCGGGCTACCGCTCGTTCTGAATCGTGCTCCCGCTGCAGCGATTGCCTCATTTCCGCGCTGCCGCTCGTTCCGAATCGTGCTACCGCTGCAGCGCTGGCGTCATTATTTCCAATGCCATGCCACGGCATGGCTTTCGGTCCTTTCGAATGGCCCACACATTTTGAAAATGCCCCCCGACAATCGGAAATGATTCCACATTCGGTGCCGATTCGTTGATCTGTTGGACCGCAGAAGCGAACCCCCTCCCACTTTGGGGCGTTGCCACGCCATGCTATGTCAGGCTACGCGTCTTCATTTCCGCGGATCCGCATGTTCTTGTCATTTTCAAAATGCTGCCCTCGCTGAAGCGCTGGCCTCATTGTCGTGCTACCGCTCGTTCCGAATCGTGCTCCCGCTGCAGCGCTTGCCTCATGTCCGCGCTTCCGCTCGTTCCGAAACGTGCTCCCGTTGCACCGCTGGCGTATTTGTTTCCAAGCCATGCCACGGCATGGTTTTCGGTCTTTCCATAGAGGCCCCAACGTCTAAATAACTGTCTCCCGAAGAAACCATCGGAAGTGATTCCACAGTCGGTGTCGATTCGTTGATTTTCTGGGCCGCGGAAGCCCCCCCCCCCACTTTGGGGCGTCGCCACGTCCTGCTATGTCATGCTACGCGTTAGTCTTCAACACCATGCTCTGCCATGTAATGCTATGCCATGCTGCGACATCCGATTGCGCGAATAGAGAGGAGACCTACGCCATGGTAAGGGATAGGAGGGAGGGGTAGGACGTCAGATATGACGCGAGCGCACCTAGCTCGTCTCCTCCCCCTCCTCCTTCTGCCCCTCCCCCCCCCCACCCCCCTTTCCTCTTCCTCCGCTCGTGCCCCCAATGCTCGTCCTCCTTGCCCTCCTGCTCTCTCCTTTTTTCTCGTTTTCGTCCCGCATGCCTCCACGGAGTGACCTCTTTGCCCTGCCCCCCCCCCCCTCTGAAGCGCACCTCCGTGTTTTCCTGGCGCCCGTCCAGCTCCGCTCCCGAAATCCAGCGCGGGCCTTTTCCTGAAACGCCTCCTCCTCGCTCTTTGCAGTCCAGCTTTGCACTGCTCGGACGCGTGCAGTTTTCTCGGCGGGTCCAGCGTCAGACAATCTGGGCCATCCAGGAGCATCTTGGGTCATCTCGCGAGAAGACGCGGAATCATTATACTACTCATAACAAGCAGAAGCATCAGCAGATGACTCACACCAAGAATAAGGACAATGCGAATAATGATTCTAATCCTATTAATAATACTGAGAATAGTTCTCATACTCGCACGAAAAGGAAGACTGACACGATTACTAAGAATAGTGCTAATAACAACACTGCGAAAACAAATCATATTCCAACTACTAATATGAACCATAATACGTTCATTATTAATCAGGGTACTAGGCATGAACAGAAGACGAGGATGACTCTTACTCAGACGAATACGAATACTTATGCGATGCGTACGGCTAAATATTATATTTCTCACAAGCAGAAGAGGACAAACAATATTTATAAAGGGTGATACGGATCATATCGGACATACTTAGATGATACGAATTTGCATACTACTAATAAAGGAAACAACGAATATACATAGTAATGTTAGTAATGCTGGAACTAATCATAATACTAAGAATGCTAATAAGAGTAATAATCATAGTAGTTAGAAGAACACTAATTATAATACGTAGAAACAAACAAAGTGACGAAACCAGCGTACAACGCACGACACCGAAAAGGGCGCGGGGCATGGACGGTCGAGAGCGATGGCATGCCCCCCTCCCCGCTCCTCCCTCGAAGTCCGCCGCCCCGGCCCCCCCTCCCCGCCCCCGCCCCCCCCCCCTCCCGGAAGGTTCGCTCACCAGGAGGCGGAGGACCTGATGACGGAGGACAACGTGCACCCCTCCGCCGCCGGGCACGCGGCGATGGCCGCGGGCTTCGCGGCGGCCATCGGCCGGCTGCCGCCGGCGTGACGGGAGCGGCCGCCATGGGCGTGCCGCGAGCACCGCGGGCATCGCGGGCCGCACCCCGCGCGTTTGGGAGCCGCGCCGGGCCGGTGCGCCAGCCGCGGCCCGCCGTGCGCGCGGCGCCCCCGCCTCGTCAGTATCGATGGGCCCACGTTCCACCCCCACTACCGTATGTAGGAGAGGGGGGAGGAGGGGGAAGGAGGAGGAGGAGGAGGAGGAGGAGGAGGAGGAGGAGGAGGAGGAGGAGGAGGAGGAGGAGGAGGGAGGAGGAGGAGGAGGAGGAGGAGGAGGAGGGAGGAAGGAGGAGGAGGAGGAGGAGGAGGAGGAGGAGGAGGAGGAGGAGGAGGGAGGAGGAGGAGGAGGAGGAGGAGAGGAGGAGGAGGAGGAGGAGGAGGTAGGAGGAGGAGGAGGAGGAGGAGGAGGAGGAGGTAGGAGGAGGAGGAGGAGGAGGAGGAGGAGGAGGAGGAGGAGGAGGTCCTCCTCATCCTCCCTTCTCCTCCATCCTACATATGGTATCGTCCTACATATGGTATCGTCCAGTGGTGGTGGAAACTATGCCCATCAAGCATCGTTGAACCGATCCCACCATCCCACCACCCCAGTTGGGATGTCTCGTCGAAACTTGCAGGGAACAGCCTGTATCCGCATCCGGGGGGGTAAATCCGCCAGTGGAGCCCAGGCCACGCCCGTGGGGATAGGGATCGGTTGAGGGATGCTCGTCTCGTTCTATTCTGCGCTCGTGCCTTTCTGACCGGTGCATCGGAGAGCCCGGCTTTCGTCATCTGTCGGCCTCTTCTTTCTTCCCCCTCTTCCCCTTCCTGACGCCTCTTCTCTCCCTGCCTCCCCCCCCCACCCTTTGTTCTGGAGGGCCATGAAAGGGATCCTCGACCATGGTCAAGGGTTCTCGCCGGCCGTGTCTCCCATCGTGGTTGTCGTGGGAGAGGGGCGAGACAGAGGAGGGATTATGAGGCCGGAAGGGAAGATGATGATGATGATGATGATGATGATGATGATGATGATGATGATGATGATGATGATGATGATGATGATGATGATGATGCTGATTATGATGATGATGATGATGATTATGATGATGTTGATGATGATGATGATGATGATGATGCTGATGTGATGCTTGCTGATGCTGATGCTGATGCTGATGCTGATGATGATGATGAGGAGGAGGAGGAGGAGGAGGAGGAGGGGAGGAGGAGGAGGAGCAGGAGCAGGAGCAGGAGCAGGAACAGGAACAGGAGGAGGAGGAGGAGGATGAGTTGGGCGTTTGAAGGAGAAGGATGAAGAGGCGGAGGAGGAAGAGGACGAGGGCGAGACGTAGGAGGAGGAGGAGGAGGAGGAGGAGGAGGAGGAGGAGGAGGAGGAGGAGGAGGAGGAGGAGGAAGAAGAAGAAGAAGAAGAATAATAAGACGGAGAATAAGAGGAGGAAGAAGAAGAAGAAGAATAATAATAAGAATAATAATAAGAAGAAGAAGAAGAATAAGAATAAAAAGAAGAAGAATAATAAGAAGAATAATAAGAAGAATAAGAAGAATAATAAGAATAATAATAAGACGAATAATAAGAAGACGAATAAGAATAATAAGAAGAATAATAATAATAATAATAAGAAGAAGAAGCAGAAGACGAAGACTAAGAATAAGAATAAGAAGAATAATAATAAGAAGAACAATAATCATACTAAGAATAATAATAAGAATAATAAGAAGAAGACAAATAATATGAATAAGAAGAATAGGACGAATACGAATAAGACTAATAAGACGAATAATAAGAAGAATAATAAGACGAATAATGATAAGACGAATAATAAGAATAATAAGAATAATAATAAGAATAAGAAGAATAATAAGAAGAATAATAATAATAATAAGAATAATAAGACGAATAATAATAAGAATAAGAATAATAAGAAGAATAATAAGAAGAATAATAATAAGAATAAGAAGAAGAAGAGGAGGAGGAGAAGGAGGAGGAGGGGGAGGAGGAGCATGAGGAGGGGGAGGAGGAGGGGGAGGAGGAGGAGAGGAGGAGGGGAGGAGGAGGGAGGAGGAGGAGGAGGACCAGTGACTCAAGCCTCATCAACGATCGATGTAGGAATAAACCCTCCCTCCCAGGGACAGGGATGTAGAACTAAACCCTCCCTCCCTCTCGAGTCCTACTATTACAAGGGACAGGAGTGGAGGACGAGGAGGAGGTGGACGATAGGAGAGGGAGGCGGATGAAGAGGAAGAGGATGAGGATGAGGATGAGGAGGAGGAGGAGGAGGAGAAGGAGGAGGAGGAGGACGATCGGAGGAGGACGGTAGGAGGAGGCGGAGGAAGAAGGTGAGGATGAGGATGATGCTGATTATGATGATGCTGATTATGATGATGCTGATTATGATGATGCTGATGATGACGCTGATGATGATGGTGCTGATGCTGATGCTGATGATGATGCTGATGATGATTCTGATGATGATGAGGAGGAGGAGGGGGAGGAGGAGCAGGAGGACGATAGGAGAGGGAGGCGGAGGAAGAGGAGGAGGAGGCGGCGGAGGAGGAAAACGTTGATTCACACATGGATTTGCCATGAGGGTTCTGCCAGGGGGGCTTTGGGGGGGCGGTAGTAGGAGGAGGAGGAGGAGGAGGAGGAGGAGGAGGAGGAGGAGGAGGAGGAGGAGGAGGAGGAGGAGGAGGAGGAGCAGGAGGAGCAGTAGGGGGTCGTTCATTCGCGGTCGGCTTCTGGCTCGTCATGTTCTTGTCCGCATTCGTGTCGTTGCACCTTCTGATCAGTTGGCGTGTTGTGTATGTTTGTGTGGGTGTTACCGTATGTACCTATTTGGCGCTCGCGAGCGGATGATGATGAGGGTGAGGAGAGGAGGAACACAATGTAGTTTTCCCGGATGCCTCTGGACTCTGGAGGCCTTTGGAGCCCCCCTGAAGCATCGGGGCCTTTATTCGGGTCGCGATTGCCACACTCACAGCGCGCTCTCTTGCTCCTCCTTTTATTATCCTCCTCTCTTCTTATCCTGCACATCCTATACTGCCTGCTCCGTTTCCCTCTCTTTCTTCCTTCCTTCCCTCTGTCCCCCCTCCTGCTCGCGCTCACACTTCCCGTCTTGCTTCGCTCCCAGCTCTGCTTCCACCCCCCGCAAGCACGCCCTGGATCCCGCCGCCCCCGCTTCCGCCCCCGCCTCCGCTCGCTCCTTCCTCGTCCTCTTTCTTCACTCGGCGGCGAGCCCTCTCAGGGAGGGAGGGAGGGAGGGAGGGAGGGAGGGAGGGATGAGGAGGAGGAGGAGGAGGAGGAGGAGGAGGAGGTGGAGGGAGGAGGGAGGAGGGAGGAGGGAGGAGGGAGGAGGGAGGAGGAAGGAGGAGGGGGAGGGAGGAGGCGGCGAGCCTGGGGGGGGACGCGAGAAGGGGCGGGCATTCTCAGAAGGCTCGGGAGGCCTCCGGCCTTCTGAGAAGCCCCCCGAAGCCGCAGAAAGCTTCCCAGAAGGGCGCGACGGCTTCTGAGAAGCGCCGCCGCCTTCTGAGAAGGCCTGCTTCTTCTCGCTTCCCCCCAAGCGCGCCGCCGATTCACTTCAGGTGGCGACGACTGCAAACCCAGTGCGCAAGGTGGTGACGCTCCTGCAGGCCGCACTCGCGCCGTACTCGGCTCGCGGCGAGGAAGGGAGGCCTGGAGGAGGAGGCCCCTGTGAGGAGGAGTATGAGGAGGAGGAGGAGGAGGAGGAGGAGGAGGAGGAGGAGGAGGAGGAGGAGGAGGAGGGGATGGTAACGTTCGACGAACCTCCATGCCGTCAGTGCCTCAGTGCCTCAGGAGGAGGAGGAGGAGGAGGAGGAGGAGGAGGAGGAGGAAGAGGAGGGGTAGGAGGAGGATGAGAACAGCTCATGACCTCTCGAGCCATTGAAAGAGGTCGTGAGGAGCGCGCCGCCCTACCAGCCAGGGCAGGCCGCGCTCTGGTAGCCTGGGAAAGCCGCGCCTCAATGGAGCTCATTCGGTTTGCTGACCCCGCGATGCCTTTCTCCCACAGGCAATCTTGTGACGACCAAACAATGGGTTATTTTGATCCATACATTAGACAGTTTCAGCAGCATGATTGTCATCAGCTTGCCATCCCGATGAGTTCTTCAGATTCACGCAATGGACAGTTCCAGCAGCACTATCAGGATGGTCAGGTCACATCTTGGCAGCACGCTGTTTCACTTGAGGCTGAGTTGAGAAGCCGATCGAAAAAAGGCGAAGGGAACTGGACTGGAGGACACATATTACGAGCACGGCGGCAAACGATGCTGTTGAAAGACATGTCGTTCAGCTGACATAGAGATCATCAGCAGTCTAAGATATTGGTTTTTCCAGACATTGTTCCGAGCGTTACCTTACAGTCACCTCCACCACAGTATACACCCCTTCTGCCGACAGAAGCGAAGCTTGACGAACTGCACGGTCTGATGCCACATCCTACGACATCTATTGCGCAGCATTTTGCAAACAGCTTCGACACATTACTTCCAGTTGCGACGGATACCATCATGTCCCCTTTTCAGGTACATCTGTTGAGAGTGCACGCGCGGCTTTTTCATATACACATTTGGGCGGCGGCAGAAGTTTACGCATAAAAGGAACCGGCGTTGTCTGCATGCCAATTCAGAGGGTCATCATGACTGACCGTCCGACAGCTTTCAGACAGGGCAACACGTTCGACTTATTGGCCTAATCAGTACTGCGTGTAATGGGATAGACGGCGCTGCAGGGGAATGGGATCATTTGAGGTGCCGCTGGTCTGTTATTTCAGGTAGAATTACGTCATGTGTGAAGCCCACTAACATTGAGAAACAGTCGGCCGTGACAAGTCGAATCCCTTGTCGTTGTTCATGCGGTCAGCCGGGCGTTTCGAGTGCCATGCTGAAGAATAATACATCAGGTGGGTTTTCGACAAAGTGTGCGATCATGCCAATGCGCACGGGGACTTCGTACCTCTCATTGCCACCATCGCACTGGACGAGCAACAGTTCGACAACCTATATCAAGCCTTTGGTCGCGATTAATTGGCCACCGGAACCACAGGCACGATGAGCGTCATCACAACTGCGATATGCGACGCCTCCCTTACCTGCCCCTCCCTCCTGGCACGCCTTCTTCTATTTGAGAGTCTTTTTCGTCCTTCCCCTCGCCCTCCTTGGGTCCAACGTGCCAGCCTTTCTGACGGGATCGGGGCTACGAGTACTTCAGGGCTTTCTTTGCAAGTAATTCTTTCGTCGTGTCCTGCCGTCGTGTATGCTGGTGCCCAACCAAACAGCGCGCACTATGACAAGAGACGCTTCTGTCTTGTGGTTCGGGCGGGATGAGGTCGGAGAGAATGGGTGGCGGATGGGCAACGGGGAGTAGACGGCATTCGCTGCGAACGGTCGGTTGCTTCCTTTGCAGCCCATTGTGGATCGAACGCCTTGATGTTGTGGTGCACGTTCCAGCGCAGCGGCGCCCGATACGAACATGCATACGAAGCCGTTGCATTCAGCCATCAGTATTGTTACCCCAGACATGGACAGGGGCTAGTATGGAGGTGGATACGAGAAGGTGGTGGAGGAGTAGAGGGCGTTCATTGCGAGCGCTCCGTTGCTTTCTCTGCAGCCCGCGTTGGACCGACCGCGCTGATGGTGTGGTGCATGTTCGAGCGCAGCGGCGCCCGAGACGAACGGCGGTTGAGCGTGAACCCGCTCCTCGGTCCGCTGCGCCGCCGCCCTGCTCCCGGTCGTGGTAGCAGGCCCTTGAGGCGCGTGGCCACCAGGGCAGACCATGGACTCGAGACGAGGAGGGGGAGGTATTGGGGTGATTGGATGAGGAAGTGGTGGTGCAGGAGGAAGCTGCATTCGTTGCGAACGCTCGGTTGTTTTCTCTGCAAGGTGCCGTGGACCGATCGCCTTGATTTTGCACTGTATGTTCGAGCGCAGCGGCGCGCGACACGGACAACGGCTGAGTGTAGCCCCGCTCTTCGGTCCGTTCCACCTCCATTTTCCTGACCGTAGTGGTGGGCCCATGAGGCACGTGGCCACCAGGGCCGGTCGTGGAGTCGGCATCCCTCGGTTGGTTTGTGTGCACTGGAGGCCTTCTCTTTCTGCCACCAGTCGTGGTGCCCGACGTGTACGGGGAGGTATGGAAGATGTGAGAAGGAGGAGCGGGAGGAGGAGGAGGGAGGAGGAGGAGGAGGAGGAGGAGGAGGGGGAGGAGGAGGAGGACGAGGAGGAGGAAAAGGAGGAGGAGGAGGAGGTGGAAGAGGTGGAGGTGGTTGTGAACAATTTCCACACCCCTTGTGGGGTCTGACTCTCGCTGAAAGCTCTTCAGTCGCGACCCTCGATGAGGGCGTCGCCATGCACAACGTTCAATGGGCATTGTTTCCTTGGCCCCTGTCGGCATCACGTAGTTTCGTATCGCGCATAATTTTTTTGTCCACTGGATCGGCGCCGCATGTCCAACTACTTGGACTCATATATTTTCAGTTCGCAATCTGTTTTACGACCTTCAGTCAGGGCGCAACTCAGAGTTCTGATGGCCGCTGGGAGCTATTCATAGCACGTCAATCTGCCAGGGTTGTTTTCCCGACCATTTTCGGAGGAAGGGGAGGGGGAGGAGGAGGAGGAGGAGGAGGAGGAGGAGGAGGAGGAGGAGGAGGAGGAGGAGGAGGAGGAGGAGGAGGAGGAGGAGGAGGAGGAGGAGGAGGAGGAGGAGGTTGGGATGGCAGAAAATGGAGGGGAACAGAGGTCATTCGTTGCGAGTGCTCGGTCCGCTTCCGCTGCAACCCGCGTAGGGCCGAACACGTCCATGCTGTGGTGTACCCTCGAGCGCAGCGGAGCCGGAGACGAACAGCGGTGGATTGTATCCCCGCCTTTGGGTCCGCTGCGCCACCATTCCTGGCCTTTGGTGGTGTGCCCTTTGTGGCACGTGGTCACCGGGTCAGACCATGGACCCGAGAGGAAGAGGGGGAGATAGGGATGTCCTGGGCAGCTGGGACGTGCGGCTCCTCGGCGCAAGCTGAGCGGCCGCGGGCAGGCACGCCAGTGCCCCACCCCCCTACGCCCCTCCGGAGGGCCGGGGCCGTGCGTAGCGCGGCGTCTACAGAGCCGCCCAGCGGCATCCGGAGACGGCCCTTGCCTCCACTGAGGGGCAGGGGCGTGCATGGACGGGGGCTTTGCCCTGACGCGGGCGGCCAGAGGAGGGCCTGCCGCTGTGACTCCGGGTTTGGGATCCCGGGCCCGCTGGGGGAGGGGCCGCGCGACGCGCCGGGCTCCTTTGCGCGCGGGGCTCCTTGACGCTTCGTGCCTTCCTCCCTGCGCCCCTATCTACACTGGTTGTGCTGCGATCTGCCGACGCCTGGTTGCTGGCTCCCCTTCCGGGGGGGGAGCCTGGGCAAAGGCGCGCGGATCCCCGCCGGTGTGGTGCGGCTCGCGCGGGGGATGCGGCTGCGGGGGGGGGGGTCCCGCCTTGCGGGGGGTTCGGTTCGTCGTCGTCTTCTTCTTCGGGGGGTTCGCCCATACTCGGCTTGTATAGCCTAATTCCCGCTGGCACCTAAGCGTGCCCCTTACATGACTCATCAGCTTGACAACTGATATCCCTGACTGCGGCTGGCGATTTGGCCACCGCCTTTCACACAGACGGGGGCCAGGACCAGTGCGGCGGCCAGTAGTCTCCTCCTCGGCTGCTGGTTGCCCTGCTTGGCTTTTTCAATGTTGATTCCACCCCGGGGTGGCCTCGCGGCGGCTCCAGGGTGGTCTCTTCCACACCTTTTACTACTTTTTCGGCCTCCGGCCGAGGGCGTCAAGGCATCGTGAAGCCTGTCAGCCACATCATCCTCTTCCAAGAGGGGGAGATAGAGATCATAGGTTTAAGTCGGGCACGTCCCTCTACAGGGGGAATAGGCAAAAATAGTCAAGCAATCGTCTGGGGACGATTTTTCTGGTTTTTTCTGACCATTTGGGGGTATTGTTTGACTAGTTTTTATGATAGGTTCAACCGTGGGGATGCAGACTGGCATCGTGCCCACCGCTTGTCACAAAAGGGTTCGTGCTAAAACGCAACAGTCGATTGCGAAGCACGCGTGGGTCCTGGTGCCGAGGAGGTTCGGGGTGTGCCGAACAACCCGCGGGTCAGCAGCCCAAGAATTGCCGCACGCGCCTGATTTCACATGCATGCCAGCTTTGGTTTACACTGGTATTTGCACCGCCTCAGGCCAGCCATCGCAGTCTGTGCCAGCCTGTCTGCTACATGTCGCACACGCCGCGTGTTCTTTTGCTCGTTTTTTGCTCTGTACTGCAAGCCTTGACTGAACATGGTGGCAGGGGGTCGGTGGTTGGAGGATGGTTGGGGGGAGGGACTACCAGCAACCTGCTGTTGCACACGCCGCCTGTTCTTTTGCTCGTTCTTTGCTCTGTACTGCAAACCTTGACTGAACATGGTGGCAGGGGTTTGGTGATTGGAGGATGACTGGGGGGAGCGACCACCAGCCGCCTGCTGTTGCACGTGTGTCTCGCTCTTTCCATCGTTCGGGTCGTTCCTCGGTTATTGGTTTACTGTGATTCAACTCGTGTCGGTCCTCTATCTCTACTTCACCGCCTGGCTGGCGCATACTCTATGCCCTTGCGGGCACAGTGTCTTTTGCTCTGCCTCTCTCGTCTTTCCGTTTTCCGCTGCGCCAGCCAGGATCTATGGGTTTGCCTTCAGGCCTTAGTCGGCCACTTTGTCTTTTTTCCCCCCATGCCACGCAGACGCAACAAGCCCCGCCTCAGGTTTCCCTAATAAAGAGCAGGAGGAGGCGGCGGAGGAGGAGGAGGCGGAGGAGGAGGAGGAGGAGGAGGAGCAAGAGGAGGAGGAGGAGGAGGAGGTGGAGGTGGTGGGGGTGGTGGTGGAGGAGGAGGAGGAGGAGGAGGAGGAGGAGGAGTAGGAGGAGGAGGACGCTTTTTGACATGAAGCGTGCCTTTGGGAGCGGTGCGCGCCGAGGGGGTGGTTATGATGCCTGGGCAGAGGCATCTCTGAAAAGCTCTAACCCCACCTGGAAAACGCCAGCGTGAACCAGGCGGCCAGCAGGCACGAGCGGCCTGGGCGAGGCATAGCACGCGCGGAAGAAAACGCATCACGTATGGACTCAACCTCGGCAAACGCCATCGGGTCGGGACCACTCGGGGCCAAGATCCCTGACAACACGGGGCGAACCTGACAGCACCAGGCGCCGCCCACTAAGACAGCGCCAGGCTGGGATTAGCTGGCCGCAGCGCGGGTGGCGAGGCCAGCAGCCTAGCACGATCTCCAGGACAGGACAGGGCAGGCGTGCGGGAGGGGAGGACAGAGAGAAAAGGCCCAGCCTGTCTTACGACACCATCGCCACAAGCAACGCCCGAGGCCCGCGCGGCCAGGGAGACGGCCAGCGGGCTGGGCAGTGGCACCCACGGACGAAGCACCGCGGTTGGCACGAGCCCGCGTGCCGGAGGGGCATGCGGGAAACCAGGCAGCAGACGGGGCAAGGCCACGGGAGGCGAACCATCTCCAGGCGTGCCAGTTGCAGACACGCTACAGGTGAATAATGATGTGATGCCGGTTGTCATATAAGCAACTTGGGCACCTTGACAGCAGAAGCCTGGAAAGCGGCAGTGCGCAAGTATACTGTCTAGGGCACGCTCGTGCCCTTGCTCATGTGCCTACGGACACGCGGCTTCATTCATTCGTTCATGCAGGTGAACGAAACACGTCCGCCATCCGATGGTTCGATCCTCCGATCGTCATCCGATCGTAAGAGTCATCCGATCGTCATCCGACCACACGCCCGTGAACCAGTCAGAGCCATCCGATCGTCCGTCGCCAGCGCGGGCAGGTTGAACGAGCGGCCCCTCGTCCTCCTCACGACGAGGGGCCTCCACGATAATACTCGCCAGCTGTCCGCGCGGCTTCGCACCCCTCCTCCTTGCGTCGCGAGCCTTGCGACGGGGGTCAATGCAGACGGGGGTCAGCCAGAGGACCCGATCGTGCAGGATCCTGCAGGGCCAGGGTCGCATTGACCCGGGCTCGGGTGCAGGATCCTGCAGGATCCTTCGCGTGGGCCCGGATTCTGGGTGCAGGATATTGCAGGCTCTGGCAGGATCCTGCAAGCCCTGACTGACCCGGGTCAGGATTGACCCAGGTCCGAAGATTCGGAATCGTTTAACCAATCCCCATCCCCATCCCCATCCCCTTCGAGACCCCCTACCAAATTACCACCCCAGTTGGGGGTACACCCTTCGAAACCCGAAGGGAACGACCTGTATCCCCATCTAGAGGGGTAAATTGGCCAGTGGGGCCCAGGCCACGCCGCTGGGGATCGGTTAAACGATGCTCGAATATTCCCGATTGTGAGGGCGCGGGGCGAGTGTGTGCGAGGCGGCGATGGGGAGGGGCCAGCTCGGCCCCCTGGTGCTGCTTGCGCCAGGACGGGGCCGCTGGCCGCGGCGAGGCGCCGAGCTCGGCGCCAGCGGGAAGCTAGAGCAGGGGCACTGACTGGCGAGTTGGCTGGCGGGCAAAGGGCCCACCAGCAGCCCTCGAAAGTGGCGACAGTTTCGCAGATCGCAGCCCCCCAGGGACGGCAAGGTCTCGCTCAGGTTTGCGCGGTGCCGCATTCCGCTGGACCCACCAGCAGCCCTCGAAAGTGGCGACAGTTTCGCAGATCCCAGGGGGGGGGGGGACGGCCGAGCGGAAGAAGTGACGCTCAGACGTCGAAGAGCTCGACGATGAGCAGCCGTGGTGGGCAGCAGCAGCCAGGCGCGCAGGGACAGCGCGGTGGGCGGCCGTGGCAAACCACGGGGGCAACCTCCTCCCCCGAACACGCACCTCTCCATTCATTTGGATGCGGATCCTCGCGAGAAGCCTTTGACGCAGTCTCGGGCCCAGCAACGCCCTCGACGGGCACGACTCGACGGATTCACGACTGGCTCAAGCTGCTGGGCCGAAGAGCCAGAGGCAGAGGCGGCGGGGGGAGAGGCCAGCTCGACCCCTGGTGCTGATGCGCCAGGACGGCGGCGGAGGTCTCCTTCTTCTGCGCTTGAGACTCCTCCCCCATGCAGCTGCTGAACCGCATGGATAGCTTGGCGCGTGCGAAGCCCTTCTCGAAGCTCTTGAAAGGGCACCACCTGGAGCAGGTGTGTGAGGTTCTGCGGCAGCGTCTATGGGCAGTCGGTTGCCTCTGTGTTCGCCAGACGGGCATCGTCCAGGGCCATTGAACCAACCTCATGCCCAGCAACGCCCTTGACGGGAACGACACACGACGGTTCAACGACTGGTTCTTGTTGCTGCACTGGGGGGCTTGAAACAGGCTGTCTTTTTTTTTTTTGTGTGTGTGTGTGTTTTTGTGAAATTGGGACCAGCTGGCACATGGGCAGACGCTTCAGCTGGCTCCAGGAGAGTCTTCCCCACAACACGCCATTGCGCTGATGACGTCTGCTTCTGCAGATCCCGTACCTCCAACGTTCCGCGTTGTTTCTAGAGGGATGTCCGCAGGGTGTCTTGAGCAAAGACAGGGGCCCCAGGGCCGACACAGCTTTGCAAGACACGCACACGAACAAGGGTGAGTCATCACAAGGTGGGACCGTCTCCGGGCGGCCTTCTGCGGCTGGTTTGGGGGACTCACCGTGAACAGACTCCGCCTGCCTTCTGATGTGAGGGCATGTTTTGCAATCCCACTGTGATCGGCACCGCTCCCAAGCGCGCAAGTCAGAGGCGACCGCGGCCGACTGCCTCTTGCTGGGCGTCTTGGCCAGCTCGACACGGCTAAAGTCCAAGCGTGGCCAAAGCGGCAGCAGGCGCGCAGCCAAGACGCACACTACCTTCGCCACACCAATCTGCTGCGACAGCACAGACCGGCATGCCTCCGAGGGCATGGGATGGGCAGCAAAACCTGCTTTGATGCCTCGTCAGTAGCGTCGTTGTCGGCCTTCAGGTACCTGTCCCTGCCTGGCAATCCTCAGATTCTTTGACCTGGGCCTGGTCTCTGGTGATGGGCTTCGGCCACAACTCAGTAAACCTAGAATACCTGAGCTCCGCAGAAGGCCTCTTGTGAGACAGCTCAATGGCCAGGGTCTTCTTTCGGGCTCTCACCACATTCGAACAGTCCGAGGGACCCCGTGACGGGCCCACCAATCATTGCGAGGACACATCTAGAGCCCAAAATTTACGATGATGGGTAAAGATGATGATGTTCATGGTGGTGGTGATGCTTCTGATGAGTTTGTTGCTGGTGCTGCTGATACTGGTGCTGATGATGTTGTTGGCGGTGATGCTGACGATGCCGACGGCGACGACGACGATGATGACGATGTTGGCGAGTATGATGGTCATGATGATGATGATGATGATGATGATGATGATGATGATGATGATGATGATGATTGGGCATGCTCGTGCTGCTGCTGATGCTTGGCTTGTGGTGACCATGCTGTCGAAATTGTGTTTGATGCTTTTTATGGTAGTAATGATGATGCTGCTGATGCTGATGATGATGCTGCTACTGATTATGTCGGTGATGGTGACGTTAACGATTATGATGAGGATGCTGACGATACTGGTGATGCTGATGTTGATGATGTCGATTATGATGGTGAGGATGACGATGCTGATGCTGATGACGATGCTGCTGATGATGATGCTGATGTTGATGATGCTGCTGATGATGATGATTATGCTTCTGATGTAGATGCTGTTAATGGTGATGATGATTCTGATGGTTGTGGTGATGATCATGCCGATACTGGTGACGATGGCAATGACGATGATGACGATGGTGACGATAACGATGCTGCTGATGATGATGCTGATGCGGATGATGATGATGCTGATGCTGATGATGGTGCTGATGATGATGACCATCGTGATGCTGCTGCTCATGATTATGGTGATGGTGCTGCTGATGATGATGATGGTGATTATGGTGGTGGTGGTGATGTTGATGACGACGATGCTGGTGACGATGACAATGACGGTGACGATGACGATGACGGTGCTGACATGATGTTCCTGATGATGATGATGCTGACGACGATGACGATGTCATTGATGATCCTGATGCTGATGCTGATGATGATGTTGATGATTATGCTGATGATTATGTTGATGCTGGTGATGAGGATGCTGATGCTGCTGATGCTGTTGTTGTTGATAGTGATGATGAGGATGAGGATGAGGATGATGATGATGATGATGATGATGATGATGATGATGATGATGATGATGATGCTGGTATTGATGATGCTGGTATTGATGATGACGGTGGTGGTGGTGGTGGTGGTGGTGATAATGATGATGATGCCGATGCTGCTGCTGATGTTTCTGATTACTACGATGCTTCTGGTGGTGGTAACTTTGGAGGAAGAGGCGGAGAAGGATCGGCTTGGGACCATAATGACGAGGTAGCTAAACAGCCTACGCGTGGCAGGAATAGGACGGTGAGGAGAAGTATCTCGTCGGTCATGCCTCGGCCTCTCGCGTATTGCTCGACAGCCTCATCATCATTATCTCTAGCACTCTAGTGGAACAGTTGTCCTGTGCAAGCGCAGCAGGCTGAGTGGCAGGCTCGCTAATGATTGTCACACCCTCCGTCTCTCCCACCCGCGTCTTACTCTTCCGTCGCTCTTAGTTGGCAAAGGTAGGGTAGTATGGCAGGGGCAATGTCACCGAGCGAATGTAAGTTTTGTGCTCAGGTGATGCCACCTCTTCTCGCCCCTCCCTTCCACGCCCTTCCCACCCGTCTTCCCCCATTCCTCGACCTTCCTCCGCTGCTTGCCGCCGTGGCGCCGACGATGCATGAAAACGTATCTCCAGAAGATGCAAGCGTCTGTGGAAGCCGACGGGGAGAAGGAGAAGGAGCTCTCCAGCCGGGCTTCGCCGCATGCACTCTGGCTTTGGGTTTCCCGGAGGATATCGAGTGGATCGGAGGGGAAAGAGGGATTAGTGGCAGCAGTGCTGGTGGTGCAGTAGCTGCAGCAGGAATACTTGTGCAGGACGACAGGTTTTCCTCTTTGGTCCTGGGGATGGGCGCTTTGGCCTTCGGAATTGTTGGTTACCAGGTATCCGACACACCACATATCACAGGCAGTCCGTTGGGTCAGGAGACGCAGGGCCGAAACGCATGGGAGTTTCGGCCTTCGGACTTGTTGGTTACACATCGCCGACGCACCACATCTCCATTGAGTCAGGAGACGCAGGGCCGAAACGCATCTACGCAGGACGAGAATTTTCCTCGTGACGTGAATTCAGCGATGAGGGGTTCGACAGTGAACATCGGCGCCGCCAACCGGACGGCTTCTGAACGCTGTGGTGCAGCTCGTCCAGGAGGAGAGATGTATACATTCATGTTGGGTGGGGCCCTCGCGCGCGGAAAATTGCTGGGAGCGCGCGAGACAGCACATGACCCATCCTGGGACGTTGATGACCGAACCCTCTTCCCCCGTAGAATCTTAACACGGGCGGGTTCCCGGGTCCGCCGATCCGATTTCGTCTGGTTCCCCGTCGTAATCAATACTATAATTTTACAGCGTGGCAGAAATCGGATCCGCCGTTTAAAGCAAGGCTGGACGCAGATCCAGAGAATCCGACATCGGATCCGCGCGGACGGAAATCGGATCCACCGGAACAGACCCGACACCACAGTTGCATCTGCTTCACCTCCATGGGATCCGACGACCGTTATGTCAAACGCGTCTGCTCAAGATTTCAACCCATCGTTCCTTGCCCAGGAGGGAAGTATTTTCTTCCTGAAGATGTAGCAGTCGTAGTCTCAGGGGTAGTGATCGAATTCGGTCCAGTAGTAGCAGCCGTGGCGTGCAGTGGTCGTGGTAGTTGTGTTGGACGTGGAGGTTGTGGTGGTATCATTTACCATGGTGAGGGGTCGAGCGGTACTACACTGTCCCGGGGTGCGTGGCCAATTCTGGGTCCCGCGGGGCGGACTCTTGTCGTTGCCGCGACCCATCAGCGACCCACCTGTGACCTGGCCGCGGCCCAGTCGCGACACACCCGCGACCTGGCCGCGACCCACCCGAGATCCACCCGCGACTGGGTCGCGACCCACCGACATTGGTTTGCCGAACAATGGGCGATTGCCGCGGGTTCATTCAGTTATGTGTTTGACACACTGTCACCGCGCCGCGCCGCAGCATACAGTCTGCGAGGTTCACATGTAACACTCGAGCTTCGCAGACTGCGGACGACCGCCCCCTCATTTGTTTGCGCACTTGCGTGCGCTATGGCATGATGAGGATCATTTCTAGTATACAGCAGTACTGGCAGTGTTGGATGTCGTGGTGGTTCTGAGACTCATTATCTGTCGGCATCAGTATGGCAACAGCCGCATGATTTACATCGTCAAACAACATCAATAGCAACAGTAGCAAAAACATAAACAGCATCAATAGTAATGGTTGGTGTAAACTCAGAAGCGGTCGTCGTTGTTGCTTTCGTGGTGCTAGTCGTCGCGGTAATGGTAGTTCTGGGATTAATCGTCGTC